AGAAAGAAGAAAAGGATACATATTCTCAGACTCAACCATACGCAGAGAAATCCAAAAAGTACAATTTAAGGAAAAAGCTAAAGATAGAGCCTGTAATTTTAACAAGAAAAAAGAACATCCAGAGTGGTTTAGTGCATAGAGGAGCTTCTGTAAACTTCTATTTTTAAACTTCCTTGCTCCTGGCCGTCCCCAAACTACAGTTATGAAACAAATCTAAGTGAATGACAACTTCAGATAAAAAAGAAAGTGACAAACTTGAAGGAGTAATAGATAAGCTGTAACTGTAGTCACTGAAAAGCAGCAATTTCAGAGTCAAGAAGCGAACAATTTGATTTCGCCCACCAGGTATGTTTGATATTTTGCCTAAAGAAAATATGAAGTCAAAATCTGTCATAAATACCAAATATAAAGAAATTTACTGCTATTTTTTTCCTTAGTTAATTATTATATTAACAGAAACATCCATGGAGGGAAAAGAAGGTAGAAAGTGAAAAGCAGAGAAAAGAGTTTTAGAAGGAACCATTCAGAATACAAAGCATCGGCAACTTTTACTAAACTACCATCTCAAGTTTCCAGCCCATCTCTTTCCCTCGTCTTCCTACCAAATTTCTTGAAAGAGTATTTGCATCAGCTTCTGCTTCCTTAGGACAAAACCACTTGTCGCTGGCATGTAACTAGCTTAGGACTCCACTTCAGTTTGGGGGCAGGATGGACTGTATTTTGAAGGTAGCAATCTCCTTTGCACCCCAACTTCACAGCTGGGTAGTAAATAGCAGACACAAACCACAATCTGAGAAGATCAGAGAGGTGCCATAGAGACATTAACAATAACCTTTCCAAAACATTAATATTGTCCATGGCTTGCTGAAAAACGGATATTTTGGGGGTGAGAAGCTGCAGTGACCCAGGAGCTATTTCAGTATTAGCCACTATGATAATTTTTTAAAGTCAGCGGGTAAGATGAATTAAGTGAACCTGGCTCTTTAGAACTGTCGTAGGAAACAAATATTAGGCATAACCTGAACATGGTGGCTTAGCTCATATTCTACAGTTTCATGTTTTTAAGTGATAAAAAGAGCAGAGGTTTTATTCTAAAATTAGGCTGTCATTTTTGTAATGGACACATAAGTAACGAATAACCAATGAAACAATACATTCCTTTGCAATAATTTCTAGCTCCCAGCTGCTGGGCACGTGGATCTGCTGACTTGAATAAGTTTGAGTAAACCAGCCACAGTCAAGTTGGGATTCACTGAGGGGAAGACGCCACCTCACTGGGCTGGACATGCGTGCTTTGGTGAGGAACTCAGGATTATACTGGGTATCCGTCTATATTCACAAATGTGCTGTCACCATGTCCCTGAAAACGTTTGGTGGCAATGAAGACTCACACAGTTACAAGGCAAAATACAGGATTCTGCCCAATCTGGAAGCTTTCCCTTCCTGTTAGGAGAGCTGGCCTGGCTCTCGCCAGATCTGAGTTCTCGAACACTGGAGGAATCCTCTGCGAGGGCTCAGTCCGGAGGACTCCATCCTCAACCTTCAATGCTGGAAACTTGTTTCTTTTATTACCACTGATGATTTTTTACAATCTCAAACCCACAACCACTTGAAATTCCAATCTTAAAATTGAAGTGCGCATTGGAAAAAAAAAATGGGAAAAGTCAACAGCATATTTGATAAAGGCGCTATGGAACCACGTGCGAAGATAGAAGAATTAAAAGAGATGTGAAGTCAAGGGTCAAGCTGGGGCATAATTTAGACACTCGAAGTTGAACTCAAGTTTTTCTCCATGACCCTACTTTGTTTGAAAATTACTATTTTGCGGAGCACTCTGACTTCTGATACTTTTGCAAAAAGTGCTTCATACATTAACAGTATACTTAAAACGATGTGTCAAAACAAATCTCCTAAGAAGTTACAATTAAATTTAGACTTATAATTTAAAGCTTTCATTTGAATAGAGGCAAGGAACTGTGAGAGAGACACCGGAAAGCACCGTAGGAACGGGCTTTCTTCAGCTGAACTGCATTGTGAGTTAGACGGATTATAATTTACTGCACAATTTGTTCTTAGAAGCAAAGGGAAATTCTATTCCTCAATCATCTACCTCCTAACCCTACTCCCAGGTAGCCTGAGCCCAGCTGGAGGGAGGTGGCGGTTAGTTATTTTCATCCCTTTTTACTGTAGAGTTTCTGACAAGACTCATTACATAGGCCTAAGGGACAGGGCAGAGATAGTGGAGGGGACAATGAGAAAGGGGAACAGACTACTTGAAATACAGATATAAATAAGGAGACCACTGGGAAAGTAGAAGTGCCCAGCAGGTACGATGATTCTGAGATATATCACTGCATAAATGCATACATAATCATTTTCTCTAGAAATTACATTTCAGAAAAATTCTATACATTTTACATAGCCTGGAGTAGCTAAAGAAGTACCAAGTATAACACAGGAAAAAAAGTATAATGAATGTTGAATGATAACAAGTATAGGGGGAAAGAGAATATAGACAAAATGCAAATTGTTGGGGGAAAATGAGGTTTCCTATGGATACACGCTCTTTTACTAATGAACTAATGATCTCATCCACAGTGCTTGCTTTGGATGATTCATTATGCAAAGGGTCTGGAGTCTAAGAAAACAATCTCCTCTATCCTCTAAAGATCAGGCAATTACAGCACAGCTGGTATGATAATTTCATTAATAACTTGTAGGATAGTATATTGGTGCTGCTAATGCCAAATTACAATGTCACAAATACTATTTCTTTAGTTTGCTAAACAGAGAATATATTATTTAATTTCTGCTTTATTTCAGTTGCATCTTACTCCACGAGTGAGAACGCAGAACAAAATCCAAAGGCTTGAAAGACTTCCCACCTATGTAATTCCTGATACGCTGAATAAGATCCAGGGACCCTGTGGCTTGAGAGGCGTAACAGCAGAGTTAAGATGATACTGTATGAAGTATAGTCCAAAACTCCAAAAAGCTATTTCACATCAAAAGAAATACTGTTAATCTCAGCGGGCAGAGGAAAAATATATAACAGACAACTAAGACCCAAGAGAAGGTCTCATGAAAACAGATCCTAACTTCAGGGTTTTATAGCTTTACAAAAACAAACCTGTTGTTACGTTCCCTGATAGATAATTCAGCCCACTTTAGAGGTCTAAAATGAATGTCTCGAACTCCAGGGAGCAGAGGAAGAGAATATGTCCTGGATGTCAATCAATTAAGTTCTATTTTATTGGCTTGTCAGGTATTATCAGCAACTTTAAATCCAAAAATTATAGAAGATCAAGATACCTGGCATCTTTGGGTTCACGGACTATTTTGCCTATTCTTAAGCATCTCGAGGGCACATGGACTGTCATTTCATATGGTGATCCATTATGGTGCTCAGTTACCTCCCTGTCAAGAAGCCCACTTTATTTCTTTCCTATCTATCTTGAAAGATCTTGATACAATCCTGTTTTGTTTTCCCTGATGAGCAAAACTGGTGAGGTGACATTTCTTTTTTAGTTCTTTATTCACTAGACTTGTTTTTATTAACCACAGAGGAAAACTGAGCTAATTCTAAAATCACTTTCACGTTCCTCTCTGTCTTTAATCACGAAATGGGGATTTTCTTTAGCCTTTCAGACCCATCTTGAGATACAATCTCAAAGCAACCCTCCTCAGTTGTGTTGATTCTAATGCACAAAGGGGTTTTTAGGTTTCGAGGGAGAAAGATTTAGATTTCTTCAGAGAAGAAACCATAATTTTCCCCAGACATACACCTTAACTATTACCTCAAAATCCACGAAATTGTATCTCCTCATTAATATTTATCTCTTATCATTATCCATGATTGCCAGAACTCAGCAAGATTTATGTAAGATATATATTTTATCTATCTATCCATCCATCCATCCATCTAAACTACACAAAAGAAGGGAATTAATCTGACACGACATAAAGCAGGTAACAGGCAGCCACTTTTGCAGGGTAATTACAAGAACTCTTCCATCAAATCCTACTCAAAATTTGATCCTGAAAGGAATAAAAAGTTTGGCCACACCAATTCTTCATCTCTCCATTCACTGTCCTTAATTAAAGGAGAGCTAACCAAATGAAGTCTCCTGCATCTGTGGAAAAAACTAGAGGCACATTTCCCCCACCAATCTTTCGAGCGACAGTAAAATCAGAAGACAAGTGTCTCAATGGGGGCAATACTGTCATTTTGGTAGGACAATCCTTCCTTCACTGTGCTCGGATGTCCTGAGCAGGTCAGGATGCTTAGAATCTCAGCCCATGCCCCATAAATGTCACAGTGCTCCCAGGTGTTGAGACCACTGAAAACGGCCCCCACACTCTTTAAAAGCCCCCTTTTCCAGCTGGTGCTGCCCCTGATAAATCTGAGACCCTTTCAAGTCCTGCTGATAATTTTAAAAGCTTCCCTGATACACAAGGGAGAACCTGATATTCTTGAACAGGCTAAACACATTTTTTTTCAAATTTAACGAAAGCAATAAAAAAAGTAGATTGCTAGAGCAATATGGGGAGTTTTAGTTTCATTTGGTTCATACTGCCAGGAAAGAATGGAGTCTGCTTATTAGGTGAACAGAACGATTTCAGAGACCCAGAGTCCAACCTGTTGCAGACACAGGGAACAGAAGATTTAGCCTCAGCCAGCAGGTTCTGCTCAAGAAGAGCTCAACGTGTGAGTTAGAATTCTGGAGAGTGGAAGATCGAAGAGCACGTGCAACACTTTTCAAAAAATCTGCATCCTTAAGGGCAAATGTACAGGTTGAGATGCCAAAGGACAGGGGCTGAGGAGAATCAGGAGGGAAAGGAGGGAGAGAAGCGAGGCAGGAAGCAACACCATCTTGGAAAGTGACCTGAAATTCCACTCACTCGAAAATCAGTTCTAAACCCACTCATACACCTATAGGGAGATGCAGAAGCTCAGGAGAGACTCTGACCACACGGCAGGAGGTATGGCCGCATCTAACCTTTGCTGGTTTTCGTCGGCTCTGAGGACATGTTTCCAGTCTTCTTCTTTTTTCTTGGGACAGGGACACACTTCCGGTCAAACGTAACAGGACTATATTGAGGGAGGCTGCTGAATTTTTTTTCAAATTCTTCATCCAGCTTTGCTGACCTAAGAAAAGAAGCGGGAGGTGGAATCAATCCGCACACGACGTAAATCTTTAAACAGAAAATGATGCACGATCTATTTTACGATATTCCATTTGAAAACAGGGTCCCCGAGAATTAGGGCATTGTTAATAAATTCTATGCAAGGACAAAAAACATCTTTCCAGGAATGCTTGAGAAGATTTACCAGCACAGTTTTCTTAGTAAACTCACAAGACGGGTTAGGCTATTACCTTAGAAAAGCAGGAAGCTTATTTAAAATATCAGAATATTTTTGAAGTGGAGAAATTGCCATTCTCTCCATTGGCATGGGAATTTTTCATTAAGTTCAATACAAAACAAGTTCCACCCAGACACGTTTCTCATTCTAAAGATTCATATATATATTGGCAAGCTTACCGGTAATACGGCATACAGGTAATTTTGTAAGATTAGTTTTAAAAAAATATTTATTGACTAGTACACGATTAAAACACACATGCAAAGAAAATGTGTAAAAATATTTCAAATAGTAGAAAAAAATTCTAGACAGTTGACCAGGATGAGGATAAAACACTCAATGAGAAAAGGAGAGCCAGTTTTCACGAACACGGTGGCAGAGAGGCCACACTGCTTTAACACAACCCACAAACAATTTCAGAAAAGTCAGCGGCAAAGGTGGGAAATCCTGGGGCTGTGTTGACTGTCTCTAAGGCCCCCCCACAGCAATGGCAGCATGCCTGCTGGATCCTACGCTGGCTGCTGGCTTTCACTTAGTAAGACTTATTAACTAAGATGCAGCCCAAACAGATGGGAGAAGCTGCAGGAGAAGCATGCTGCTTGGTAGATGGAAAATGGAAGGTGTACTGGGAAGAGAGCAGCTCTGAGCACCAACTTACAAGAAGCTACTAGTTAACGTGTTAGGCTGCTACCTAAGGGGTAGACTTGAGATGTGTCCACCTAAAACTGTTCTCAGTTTTGGAGGAATGTACAAAACTTGGGGAGCAGAGATAAGACCGCCAGGTAACCATGAGAATGGTCCAAGTAAAAAAGCCATGAGTAAGTTCTATCAGAGCAGTGAGTGTGCGGGGTGGGGGTGATGCTCCTCTCTTAATAAAATTGTCTTATTCAGTTAAAAAATGTTTACACTAATGAAAAAGCAGATACTATCTCATACTATCAGGTTGCTACCAGAAAGCTACCTATAAGTTGTGAATTTTTCAGATACTCTGAATAACCAAAAGAAAACTACAAAAATGCAAGATGTAACTCTTAAGGTTCCTTGGGAGTTTTTTTTTCTTTTTCCAACTAGAATAATCACCTACGTTTTTCTTGGGGAAATCTATAAAATTAGAACTGTCAACACTAAGCGAATTTTTCTTGGCTACAGTTAACTAAACAGGTAGCACGTTTTCTGTGATAAAAAGGTTTAAAATGCTCATTTAGAAATCTCAGAGAAGACTGTAGGAACTGGCATTCCTCACTGCTAATGCACGATGTTGGCATGTTCTGAACAAAGTGAAGTCTGACTCTGAATGGCCAACGTCTAAAGGGGTGACAGGAGGAGAGGCTAGAGGTTTACTGTTGACTTAAGCCTGCAGAAAACCACACTCCTAGGTATACATATGGCTTCCTTAGAAATGATCAAAAACAAACAAAACAAAACAACCCACACACCAATCTCTTCTCAGGGACACATTTTCAAAAGATTGTTTCACTTTTCTTCTTCCTCAAAGAAGATTGGTGAAAAGGTTTCTCTCATGGCTGTCAGAAGTTTCCAGTGGCAGCATCAGAGAACTTTCTGTGGGGAGCCTGAAGGCCCACTTACTGCCCTAGGACTTCACACCGTCTGCAAGGAGACTTCCTCCTCGCTCGGCGTGCAGACCCACAGAGCACTGGGAGTCCAGGCATCGGTCCTGACACTCAGTGGCCACTTTTTAAGGAAATTCTGCATTTGAAAGTATCATTCGACAATGACCCATGTGAGGATTTTCATGTCATTGTTTAAGCATTATGCAAGCAAAACTAATTTGAACTACTTTGGACTTTTAAAAATATTAGGAAGGAAATATATATAAATATATCATCTCAATATAAATAATCTTGAGGAATCATCATTATGAAAAGTAACTCCCCCCCAGACTTTGTGATGACCTAGAGCTTGAGAATTAACCAGACTTGAGAGCACTGTAACTTCCAAGGAAAAAATATATTATTCCACAAACAGAAATACAAATATTTATGAATAAACCAAATACAATCCTCCCAATGCATAAAATTGGCATACCTTTAAACACACTTATGAAAAAATATGGAAAATATAATTCTTATTTCTATTCAATGCATTCTCTTCAAACTGGGCTAATAAAAAATCTCAAAGGATTTTCAAAATAGTACAACTGAAGATGTAGATGCTTTCCCCAGCAATATAAAGTATTGGCTCTCCTAACCTAACTAACAAACTGTTTTATATTAAGAGTCTTACGCATAACATAAAAAAGGAAATAATTCTCGATGATTTTATCTTGATGTATGCTATTGCTTGATATTGCCATTTCAATACATAATTAACTACTGAATATTCTCTATACTAGGAGAACATTCAATGTAATATTTTTATCTTAGAGTAACAGAACACCGTTTAAACAAAGTAAGGTTAGAGGTAGAAACATTTTATTTACCTTGCATTTTCAGCTGTCATTATTTTATAAACATATGTACATACCTTTAGAAATATTAAAGGACGTATACACAGTATGTAAAATGGGCACAATGTAAACAGACTTATAACATCCACTGTAAACTCCAGATGGGAAAATGCATCCTTGGTGATACTAAAGGATTTACAATATCACATCGCTAATCCATGGTGGACCTCAATTCAAACTCAGGTCTGAGTCTAAAATCTGCATGTTTTGTACTGTACTTAAAACGTGAATGACGTGGCACTCACACGACCTGCAAACAGCAGGAATCCTGTGATACACTTGATTTGTATTTCCTCATGTGTTTGCTAAGACTGCAGTAAGTGCCACGTGAGTGCTCAAAGGATAGCAGGTAGCGATTTGTGTTTACCTTGAACATCCTACCACACTTGGGGTCTGTGCAGTGTGGCTGACTGTGCTCCCAGGCACTTACCCAAGGAGAGAGTCTTCCCTCGGCTTTGTCTTCTTGAACTTCTTGCTCCCACTGGTCCCACTCTGGTTAAATGTCCAGCTTTCTTCATTCCAACACCCTTCATGATCGGAGGAGTTTCCTTTTCCTGAGCTTCGTTTCCCTAAGGAAATTCAAGAAAAAAGGACGTGCTGGGTATAGTGGGATGGGAGGGAAATCATCTTAGCTGCTTCACAAGTGACCTTTTAAGTATCATTTGCACGATGCTCTCTATATTGCTGAGTTCTCAGAGTCATTCATGATGGACTACCCTTAATAACAGAACTTGCGAAAAAGTCACCCACAGCCCCTAGATGGGTTGTCTCGTCATAACTCAACAGGTACCTGCATGACTCCACAGACAGACTAACCACTAGTAGCTTTTCTATTAGAGAATCAGCCTAAGGTGTGGGAGCCCTTTGCTGGTGGGCACTGTTAATTCTAATTTCCCCAAGACTGAGTGGAATGACATCCCTGGAGAACTATATACTCCCAAGGATGTTCATTCAGGGCTTGTTAGACCTATTATTCATACATCTCTTGCTAGAATTCAGCTTGGAAAGAAGTAGTCCCTCGCCAGATGCTATATTTTAAAATAGATGAATTTATACGAAACACTCTATGGTATAATGCATATAAAGATATACACATTAACTCGTTTCTGGATACTGTTATGGTCTAAAGAGCCCTTCACTTCATTTACAGTTTTAATTACCTAATGGAGAGGGTTAGATAAGTTATTTGCTTCTGGAGCCTGCAAGTCAAGATTCTGCCAAACATATCTGCTTGATTCAGGAAATTCTTTCCATCAGTTTTAAAAATCAGATTAATAGCTCCAAACATGCAATAATGATTCTTTAAAGCAAAAAGCCAGCCCATTCCAGTAAAAAAAAGTTTGAATTGCTTTGAACATTTGTATCCTGAGAATTACCCACAAAATGAATACAAACTCTCCTCTATGGTGCCAGAGAACATGTAGGTAAAACAACAAATGTGTATGATCCATAAACCATAAAGAACCATCAAACGTAAAATATTATTTTGATAACATATTGTTCTTTATGGTGGTTCTTTTCAACAAGTCTAAAGGAGAAATTCTGCTAGATTTCCATATTCTTCTAGGATCTGCACAAGTCACTTACCTCTGTCAACATTAGCCCGCAGAGAGGTGAGCATGCCCTCAGACACCAGGGTTTTATAAAGAGCACCTTTGCAAGACCTCTCGGATTTCCGGGAGCCACAAGTCTCTATTTTCCTGTGACAGTCACTGTCCTCAGGCTTGGCCTGTCCCGACAAGCTGGGTGGTAACACATCTTCCATGGGGGTCAATGGTTCTGCTTTTATACCCTCTGGCACCTCACCAGAAATGTTCTTGCTGGCGGAAATACTAATGAAATCTGGAGGTCTTGACTCTTTGGTGGTGTCTGAGGATTTCTCCTTGGACGTTTTCTTCTCTCTTGATTTCACTTTTTTCTTTGGTGGCTTGGCATCCAAAATGCTTCCCTTGCCACTTGAGGATGTACGGACCTTCTTGCGAGGAGATTCTCCAAGTTTCTCAATGCCCCAGTCTCCCTTTGCCACGGCTTCAATGGTGTACATGACACTCTCGATGTCAGACTCCGAGGACTGCCTCTTTTTGCAAGTCTTCTTGGGTGTGGATTTATCATTTCCATGCCGATCCATTTTGCCTTTCTTCTTTTTCTTTTTTAGCTTTTCTGGTTTGTTCAACGCTGTGGGATCCTCGATGATCATAATTCCATGAGGATGGCACATGTGATCCTTTCTACTGGGAACATCGCTTATTATTATCTTGCTACTGGCAGAGTAAGAAAAATCAGGGAAGTGACTACATTTTTGATCTTCCTCTAATTCTTCCTTTTTAATTTCTTTGGGATCTTCCATTTTTAGAGCCATTATATCATCCATTCTCACCTCCTCGAAATTTCTTAATTCCTTAGAATCTCTTATGTGTTCTGTAGCTGAATTTTCAAATTCAGCTTCCTTCTGTAACCTGGCTTCATCTGTCTTCTCCATTCTTATTTCTCTTTCTTCCTTTCCCTTCTCCAATTCTTTAATTCTTCCGCCATCTGATTCTTTTGCTTTTACTAGCCTTGATTCCTCCATTTTCACCCCCTCTGACGCCAGGCACATCTAAACAGTTAAAACAAAAATGGGAGAACAGCAAAAAGTATCCTTATTATTCTATACTCAAAATTAGCTTGAACTTTTTAATTATATCCTTTTATACTTCAAACTTTACAATAATCAGTCCATTTCTTAATGAAAGGCCTTAGGCATTATGATATATTCATTAAACTCGAGACAAGCATACTTCCGAATTCCCCCTTTCTAGCTTCACTGGAAGCTTTTTCTATGAAAACAAGATTTGGTAGGAGGAGGACGGACCCAGGGCTGAAGGACTGCGCATGAATCTCAGTGTTGCTCCGTGCTAACTTCGTACCTAGAATGAGTCATTTCATCCTCGCTCCTCTGATGGTGAGGCTAGCCGTCCCTGAGGATTCTGAGGTCTGACACAATGTACTTAGGGCAGTACTCAGTGAATCATGCCAAACTCTGTTCAGATGTTCACTTTTTCTTTTCTTGGGGAAATGAAAATAGTAACACTTTCTATCTACCCACTTGAATTAGATATGGTAAGATGATTCATTAAACAACGACAGAAGGTTTTGGTTAATGAACAAAACCTTATGGGTCCACAAATGCTGACAGACAACATGAAGATCACAAAAGTTCTGAAAACTAAGTCGTGGCATTTTTAAATGGATTTGGTGGCAAACTCAATCTGATCCAAACTTACTTGGCTGCAAATTCTGACCAGAACTAATGTGAAACGGCTTAACATCTTAATTTATCTTACTTAATGACTATTCATACACTTTTGCTATCAGAATCTTCATGTATTTGCATATGTATTGTGGGAATTAATTGCATAGTGTAAGATACATATAATGTATCGTTTTCCTAAAATCTGAAAGATTCTGAACACCAAAACACATCTGGCAGCAATTTGGTTATGTTTTTAAACTCCCCAAATTTCACATATAGGACATTAAAGGAGAAACTTGCCATCTTCCCCTCCAGCTCCCAGGTACCTCAATACTTCAATCTAAAGCTACTTTCTAGAAGGAGAAATTACAACTTGTAAAATTTATTTTCAATAACTGGGTTTGCATTCGTAAGCATCCCCTGCAAGGCCCCTGAGGGCCAGGCCCTGCGGAGGACACCATAGATACAGAGTTCAATAAGGCCCCCTCTGTGCCTTTGAGGAATTCATCCTGAGGCCAAGGGCAGCACAGGAATTTTTAGCCACTACTTGTTTTATCTATTTTGTATTAGCAACGCAGAGGAAAAAGAACACTGAGGATTGCTGAGTCCCAAATCAAGCACATGAGTAGCAAACTGATTTTTTTTTTTTTTTGAAAAATCACCTTTTTGTCTTTTAATACTTGTTGTTTTTGTGTACTTTTGGGGGAGGAAGATTGGCCCTGAGCTATCTGTTGCCAGTCTTCCTCTTTTTGCTTGAAGAAGATTGTCACTGAGCTAACACCTGTACCAATCTTCCTCTATTTTATGTGGGACGCTGCCACAGCATGGCTTGATGAGGGGTGTAGGCCTGCACTTGGGATCTGAACCTGTGAACCCTGGGCCACCGAAGCAGAGTGCGTGAACTTAACCACTATGCCACCGGGCCCACCTCAGAAAAAAATCACCTTTTTATCAAATGGCCAATTGTCAGGGATTGTTAAAGTCTGTAAAATTCATTTTTTAAATGGGTAATATATTCAATTAAATATCAGATGCTCTTCTAGCTCATTTTTCCCCTTAGTACTTTCAGTGGATCTCAAATCTTTCTGCGAGAATTACATTATGATTGGCAAGTCTGGAAAGAAATTGGAGAAGGGCTGGAGAGAGGCAGACAGAGCAAATTCTTAAAAAAAATGAACCTGACAAGAGCACTGGGCCCTTCAGATCATTTGGAGGGAAGATCTGAAATATTACGGATCTGTAATGGAGCTGTCTTTTTCAGGAACTCATGTCAGTTATCTCTCAGACCTCAGCAAGTAGTTATGAAGACTGAGAGCTTCCCTTTGTCAAACCCAACCACAAATAAGATCAAAGCAAAATATCCTCTTAAATTAATCCTGAGACATTGATCCATTTAATCTTCTCTGCATGTTTTACTCCCATGAGAGGAGATGTGCTGTTTTTTGTTTTTTTTTCTTTTGATGAGGAAGATTGTCCCTGAGCTAACATCCGTGCCAATCTTCCTCTACTTTGTATAAGGACACTGCCACAGCGTGGCTTGAGGAGCGGTGTGTAGGTCTATACCCGGGATCCGAACCCGAGAACCCCAGGCCGCTGAAGTGGAGTGTGCAGACTTAACTACTGTGCCACCTGCCTGGACCCAGATCTGCTGTTTTTGTATCAATTTTGAAATAATTTTTATTTTCCTTTCTCAATTATCCTGGCTCTTCATGAATATTACTATCCTGTGTGGGGAGAGAGACTATACTAGTTCTAGAAAAAAGGGCTGGAAAGGCCTCGAAGTATATTTTACGGTTTTTAGACCAGTGTCACTGTGGTGGCCTTTAAGAAATCATTTTGGGGACCTTCTACCACACCGGTGCAGTTTTCACAGTGGGATGCCAACAGTCTACAACACACAGGTTCATCTTAGCAAAGCTAATAATACTTTAATACTTTGCAAACTCTATTCTCTGCTTCAATATATTTCACAATGATTCTCCTCATCACCTCTGATAGGATTCTACAGCTAGGAATGAAATGGAACAAATGCAGACACTCACTCCAGGGACATATTCCGGGAAATAGCATAATAATTCTTGTGAAGGTAATTACACTGAGCACCAGTCATGCTTTTCTTCCTTGTTTCAGACTCTTAAAAAAAATTTTTTTTTTCACAAATAGAGTATGTTAATCCTAAATTACAAGAAAAACAATTATATTGCTGGAAGTTAAACTATAAAAATAAAACAAATAACTCCGAATCAATACCTATAAATCACAAATCTCAGTAACCAAAAACCAGAACACACACAAATCAGATCCTCAGAGTTGAGCGTCTCCCGGGAGGTTATCTAATTGAACATTCTTCCCAATGCAGGAATTCATTTCACTGCAAGATTTCTCAGAGTTAGTTATCCAACTTTTTGCGCAAAGATAATGACCATGTTAGAAGGCAGTGCTATTTGAAATTTTTAAGATATTGAGCAAAAATCTATCACCCTATCAGTCCTAGTTGTTCCCTGAGCCACAACAAGTAATCTACTCTTTCTCTCATGTGACGGACTTTCAAATCCTGGAAGACAGCCTTTATGTCCCCATAAGCCTCTTCCCCTGGCATCATGTCCCAGTTCCCGGAACTGCTCATCACACGTAAAGGCTTCCCGACCTTTCAAAAGCTGGGCCCCGCTTCTCGAGATGCAGTCTGTGGTCCCGAAGTGAGAACAGGCTTTATGGAAATAGGCTGGTTCATAACCAAACACCACAGCTTGCTTGCCTAAGACCACACAATGAGCTACGGAGCTTAGACTTCAACCTAGATGAGGAAATAAAGGCTGAGAAATGGAAACGGTACATCTTCCACTGGGCTGTTGTGAGGCGCAAGTGAACCAACATGTGAGAACACAACCTGTCAGTGACTTCACAGGTCGGTCTACCTGTAACCAGCTTTACAATACTGGGGTTGGGGAGCACTGATGCTTCACTTTAGCAATATTTTCCTTAGATTAAGTTCCTAGCCTTCCTGTGACACTTTAGATGAGAAGTGGAATTATCTGTCAGTTGACAGGGACGTTACTTAACTTCTAATGGGGTCCAAGGATGAACCCCTCCCTCCTTTTTTTAAAAAACAGGTCATACTTCTGGTTTGTATTGGGCTTGTGGTCAATTAAAATCTTGGATTTCTTCACCGACATAATATGCTGGGAAGCTTGGTCTCTTCCATTCTATATCTTTCTATTTTTAGTTCCTCGGTACAAAATTTCCATTTTTCCTTACAGTTTATCCTTTCAAAATTTGATTTAAATTACCCTCCCGCTTTATGTTACAGACACACTTGATAAAGCTTATATCTTTTTCCAAATCTCTGGTAATAATGTTACATAGAATACGGCCAAGGACACAGCCTTCTGGAAAACCTCTAGAACCCTTTCATCAGGTGATTTGAACGTTAAGAAACTTCAGCAATTTAAGAAAGTTTTATAATCCAATCTAAATTTCCCCTTTTTTTTCCACAAGGACATCATAAGATTATCCGTCAGAAGTCTTGCCAAAATCTGGATACAGTAGGCCAGCAGCATTCTCTTAGCCTACTATATAATCATACCAAATAGAGAACAAGGATGGCTTATGCACCAGCCAGGGTCTAACTAGGCAAACAGAAACAACTTAAAGCACATTGAGCTGAAGGAATTTAAGGCAGGGAATAAGTTGGTTACTCAGGTCATGAAGAACTGAGACACCCAAACAAGAGGTGGTGAGGGAATTCAGGGATTAACAATAGCAGGAAGCCACAGTAGGGACGAATGGGGGAAGGGAAGATGGAACCACGGTGGGCCTCTCTGGAGGGAGCTGGACACAGGGAAGAGATGCTGCGTTTGCTCCACCTCCATCTCTCATCTCCCCTTCCCTGCTCAGCCAGCCTCTCTCTTCCTCCATCCCCTCATCTCCCACTAGTGTGTCGCACTGGCTGAATCCAGCTGGAAATCAGGGGACACAGGAACCCAGGAAAGGCAGTCTGTAGCCACCTGGCATATAAGCCAGCAGGCAGGGCAAACAGACTCTGGGATAGCACATTTGTCAATGATTTTTTAGGGGGAGATTTCGATAATTCCCAATTTTCATCTTCTTTTCTTAGTTCAAACATTATACTATTAGAAATAATTTTCAAAAGTTTCTACAAATTAACAGTCTGTATTTCCACATGACATAAACAGCACCTGGGAACAGCTATGGATGTAATAACTCTTAGAGGATGCTGTCATGCTTAGATGTAAGCAAATTCTACACTCAGAGAGTTTCAAAAGGCAGGGACTCTGGAGGCAGACTGGCTCTGCCACTGATCAGCTTATTTTCTCTAAACCTTTCTGTGCCTCAGTTTCCCAATC